TCAGCGGCTCGGCTGCTGGGCGGCTCGGCGGCTCTGCTGCTGGGCGGCTCGGCTGCTGGGCGGCTCGGCGGCTGGGCGGCTCGGCGGCTCGGCTGCTGGGCGGCTCGGTGGCTCAGCTGCTGGGCGGCTAGGCTGCTGGGCGGCTCGGCGGGGCCGCTGAGAGGGCAGCGTCCGGGGCCGCTGGGAGGAGGCGGCGGGGCCGCTGAGAGGAGGCGGCGTGGCCGGAAAGGTAGGTGGCGGGGCCGCGTCAGGGGCCGCGACAGGGGCCGCGTCAGGGGCCGCGGCAGGGCCGCGTCAGGGCGCCGCGTCAGGGGCCGCGTCAGGGCGCCGCCAGGGGCCGCGGAAGGGGCCGCGTCAGGGCCGCGTCAGGGCCGCGGCAGAGCCGCGTCAGGGCCGCGTCAGGGGCCGCGTCAGGGGCCGTGGCAGGGGCCGCGTCAGGGGCCGCGGCAGGGCCGCGTCAGGGCGCCGCGTCAGGGGCCGCGTCAGGGCGCCGCCAGGGGCCGCGGCAGGGGCCGCGTCAGGGCCGCGTCAGGGCCGCGGCAGGGGCCGCGTCAGGGCGCCGCGTCAGGGGCCGCGTCAGGGCGCCGCCAGGGGCCGCGGTAGGGCCGCGTCAGGGCCGCGTCAGGGCCGCGGCAGAGCCGTGTCAGGGCCGCGTCAGGGGCCGCTTCAGGGCCGCGGCAGGGGCCGCGGCAGGCCGCGTCAGGGCCGCGTCAGAGGCCACGGCAGGGCCGCGTCAGGGCGCCGCCAGGGGCCGCGTCAGGCCGCGTCAGGGCCGCGTCAGGGCGCCACCAGGGGGCGCGTCAGGGGCCGCGATAGGGCGCCGGCAGGGGCCTCGTCAGGGCGCCGCCAGAGGCCGCATAGGGGGCGCGTGGGAGGCGGCGTAGGGGCCGCTAAAAAAAAAATTTAGGGCAGGGCGCAATGTGCGCGGGCAGCTAAAAAAAAAAATCTTATGGTGGGCCCTTAGGAAGGAACGGTCCCATGTAGGAACCCGCTCTATACCATGTGAATCAAGAAAACAGGAATGAAATGACTAAGTGAAAGTTGGGTACAAAAGGCAAACCCTAGGCAACTGTACCCCATATGTGCTACCCCACTATAGCCTACAGTAGCTATGTCATATAACTCTGACACTCAGTAATACTTTTTCGCCAACTGCAAAGACGACTTCCCGGCGTTTCATGTCGGCATAGGACTTTTGCCTCTGTTGGGCAAGCTGCAGCCAATGGCGAGCGGACTTCAATGCCGCTTGCTGCTTTCCAATAAAGTCCTTTGCGGCGGGGATTTTTAGGCTCTTAATCCCATGCGTCGCAGGGGTTGTGGGGTGCCGACCACAGTTCAGGGTAAAGGGTTTCTCATGTGTGCTTTCATGCACAAAATTGTTCACAGCGAATTCTACGACTGGCAACAATTCATCCCAATCGTCCTGAGTTGGGCTTATGAAAGAACGAAGCATTTGCTCAAGAGTGCGGTTGGTCCGCTCTGTCTGTCCATCCGTTTGTGGGTGGAACGCAGACGACATCTTGAGTTTCGTTCCAAGTGTCTTAATGACCTCTTGCCAGAACCGGCTTGTGAAGCGCGGGTCTCGGTCAGACACCATCACACGAGGCAAACCGTGTAAGCGGAAAACGTGCGTCACAAACAACTTTGCCGTATCCTCTGCAGACACGTCAGTCGTCGTGGGCACGAAGTGCACCATTTTGGTCAAGCGATCTACAAACACTAGTATCGCCGTATGACCATCTCGCGTCTTGGGGAGATCGGTGATAAAATCCATCGATACACTCTCCCAAGGTTCATCGGGAATCTCAAGTGGTTGAAGCAAACCACCAAGCTTCTGTGTGCTCGGCTTGTTCCGTGCACACGTGTCACAGCGAGTTACAAACTGCTGGACCTCAATGCCTAATCCCGGCCACCAGTACACATCACTGAGGGCCCACCGGGTTTTCTTGACACCCAGGTGTCCTCCATACTTAGTGGCGTGCACCTCTGCTAGAATATCATTCCGCAGGTTTCCCACATGTGGGACAACAATTTCTTTCTTGTGCCACCAGAGCTCATGCTCCCACAAGAGATCCTTTGTATTCTATGGGTTTTGAAACCAAGGGTCAATATCATACCCTAGGCGGATGCGTTTCAGAAAACCACCAAAGGCAATCTCGCTCACTCGAGCAGCTGCGAGGATGCTGAAACAAGCAGCAAACACTGCTGCATGTTCATTATCATCAACACCTGTTGCTGCCCCAATCGGCTTTCTGCTCAGAGGATCAGCCATGTTCGTCGAGCCCGCTCGGTATCTAATATCATAGGTGAACCCACTGAGGAGTTCGGCCCATCGAGCTTGACGGCGGGTGAGTGTGGCTTGAGTGGCAAAATAGGTGTTCGGACAGTGGTCGGTCGTGACCACGAAGTCAACACCTTCGAGATAACATCTCCATGTTCGTAGCGCATGCACAACTGCCAACAATTCCTGTTCGGAAGTTGTATAGCGCTGCTCAGCCGGTGAAAGCTTTCTACTCTCATATGCCACGGGGCGTCCTTCTTGCAAAAAACTACTCCAATCCCTACTGTCGAGGCATCAGTTACTACCTCGTAGGGCTTGGACGGGTCTGGCAAAGCCAGCACTGGAGCATTGGTCAGCATGGTTTTCACCTCCTCAAATGCCTTCTGGCATTGATCGGTCCACTGCCAAGCATTACCCTTACGAGTGACGGCAGTCAGTGGAGCGACTACGGAGGAATAGTTTTCCAAGAAACGGCGAAAATAGTTCGCAAGTCCAAGAAATGATCTGACCTGTCCCACGTCCTGTGGAACGGGCCACTGTTGGACTGCCGCCACTTTCTTTGGATCAACTTTTAGGCCGTCGTTGCCTACCAAGTGACCAAGGTATTCCAACTCGCGTTTGTAGAAGTGACACTTCCACAACCGAGCAAAGAATTGATGCTCACGCAGTTTTCCTAACACCCATTTCAGGTGTTGCGTGCGTTCTTCTTCTGTCTTCGAGTACACGAGGATGTCATCCAAGTATACCAGGACGAATTGGCCGATTGCCTCCCGAAACACATCATTCATTGCTCGTTGAAATGACGCGGGAGCATTTGTCAAGCCAAAACTTAGCACACGCCACTGAAAATGCCCGAATGGCGTTCTGAAAGCCGTTTTTGGAACATCTTCTTCGATGATTCGTAGTTGATGATACCCCTGAGCTAAGTCCAGTGCACTAAACCACTGAGCTCCTTGGCGCCGATCGAACAGATCCTCAATTCGTGGTAGAGGGTATCTGTTCTTCACCGTAATCTTGTTCAAGGCACAATAATCTACGCACATGCATAATCCTCCGCCCTTCTTGTTAACGAACAAAATCGGTGCTCCGTAAGGGGATGCACTGGGTTCAATCCATTCTAATCTGAGGTATTCCTCGATCTGTTGTTTAGCCTCCTCGTACTCAGCTGGACTGAGGCGATACAGAGGTCGAAAGGGTGGAACCTTTCCTGGTTCAACAGGGATGGTGTGACCCACTGCGCGGTCAGGTCGAAGTCCATCAGGGATGGTTTCAAACACTTCCTTAAATTCCTCTGCCAGTATTTGCATCTGAGGAGGGAAATCCTCAATTGCTGGCTCTTAGGCCTCAGCATTCTCAAGCTGTACCACGAACAGTGTATCAGCTGACTTAAAAGAATGCCCAAACTGGTTGGCCAACACACACAGCGCGCTGGGACGTTCAGGCGTCTGTGTTTCAGTGGGCAAGGTATCATTGACTTGCCACTGGATTTCCTTTCCGTTCTTGTTGAACGAGACAATGTTGTGCTGGAAGTCCAGAATGACTTCGTTGGCATGCAACCAAGCCATGCCAAGGATGAGGTCGACTCCTGACAAAAGTGGCAGGACATACACGCAAACTGTTTCGCTATAGTCCTGTACGATCATGTCGATATGTGCCTGTCCTTTACTTGGAATGACACGATCGTCACCCAAGCGGATGGGACATGACGGTCCTACAACGAGGACGTTGCGTGTCGTAACCCAAGTTTCATCAACAAGGGAAACTGACGCGCCTGTATCGACGAGAATCCTTGCTTCGTCCCCATTCATGCGTCCAGATAACAGTAAATTCTGTTGGAATCTTGGACGGATGGGACAAGCGAAAACAAGTTTAGAAGGTCGATAGTACACCCTAAATTTGTTGTGACCACGTCCAAACCTTTGGGAGCTGGTCCACCAGACGTGGTGCCCTTTGTCCCATGTTACCAGGATATGCCATACGTAAAATCGGCGGAATAACTCTCCTTTCACAATTCGAGTCACCAATCCCACTGACGTAAGCGGGTGCTCTTGAACACAACGGTCCACAATATCCATGATTGCTGGCAACTCGTTGAACGAGCAAGAGATGATTGAAAAATTATATCTCAAGGATTCAATTGAGATGTTTTCAAGTGGGTACGATCGAGTTTTAAAAACAGATTTTTCATTAATAGAAGAGGCATACAAACAAGCGATTTTGCACGATGCAAGCTTCTCTAGCTTTAGCAAATCCTCATCATGAAGGACATAAGCCTCATCTACTCGATCTCGCTCACCAACTAGGTACCCACCCCCTAGTTGGACTTCGGAAAATCCTTCGAGCCCGAAGGGCCAGAACCATCCGGCTTCTTGCCCTGGTTGGGCTTGCCGGAGTTCTTGACGGACTTCCTCCAACGGCAGTAATAGGACTTGTGGCCGAGCTTGCCACAGATGCGGCAGCCCGCCGGGGGCTTATCCTCATCCTGAGGATCCTTGGCAGGCCCAGCATGGGCCCTCTTGGACTGAGTCCCAGAGGATTCCCCCTTCTGCTGATAGGGCCTCTTCCAAGAGCCACCGCCCCTGTGTGCCTGAGTCCTGCTACCACCCCCCCTAGGGCCTTCGGCACTAGGCTGCTGCTGAGCACGAGCGTGGGTCATGTACGCACGGAAATTCACATCCGTGTCAATGACCTGCTCCTTGCACTCCTTGTAGGTCCTCCACTAGTGCTCCCCGCGCACAACATGCACACGCTTGATGTGCTCAGGGAGTCCCTTGAAGAACTGGTGGATGACCTCGCTCTCAGGAAGAGCAGTCTTCAGCAGCGACAAAGTTTTCTCAAACTCCTTGGCGTACTCGCGTACAGGCTGGTCACCGCACTGGATGTTCTCCAGGCGGCTACGCACCTCGAGCGCCGGGGGCTGACTCAGGAATGCCGCCAGCATGGCAGCTTTGAACTCCTCCCAGCCAAAAGGATGGCCATTAGCCTCTGCGTGGCGCTTGTTGGCATACACCAACTTGCTCGCAGTGTCGTCCAGGGCAAGGGTCGCAGCGACCACGCGAGCCTCGCTACGCACATTGTGGATGGACATAAAGTCCTCCGCAATGGAGAGCCAAGTCTCAACGTCAGTTTTGCCATGGACAAAACGAGGCAGGGCCGAAGGGCAGGAGCCAAAGGCATTTGCAGCTGCAGCAGGAGGCTCAGCACGTGCTCTAGAAGGAGGAGGAACGACAGGAGGTGCAGCAGTAGGTGCAGCATGGCTGTTAGCGGCATTGGCGACTCGCTCTGCTGCAGGAGCAGGCTGATAGAGGTTGCCACGCCGGATCTCCCTGTACTGAGCCTGAAGCACAGAGATGTTTTTCTCTTGCTTCTTGAGCTGATCCTGCACGAACTGGAGAGTGGTCTGCAGGTCGTGAATGAAGCTGGAGGTGTCGTTTTCCTTAGGGATCAACTGTACCTCCCTGGTCAGCTGCTCAATCAAGGCCTGAAGCTTAACAGAATCAGCCTCCAAGTTCTGGATACGGCACTGTTGCACTCCAATGAGAATATTCTGCTCCGTGAGTTAAGTCTGGAGTTTGACAGCAATGTTCTCAGTCTCGTTAGAGACACCCTCATCAGAGCCAGCCTCATCCTCATTTTCAGCATCAGCCTCAAGGTCAGCTTCACTTCCATTGATCTCCATGTCAACCACGAAATCTTCAAGGTTGAGATCAATATCAGCAGCAGCAGCAGCAGCATTATCTCCCTCATTGCCAGCAACGGGCACCTCCTTAGTAGCATCCATCTCTTGACCAGAAGCCATGAAACAGGTTAAGGAGAGGAGTCTCAACAGATCTAATAATAATCTTTCAGAAATCTGATTACTCTTATAGAATAATCCAATACAGAATCTCTTAAGATTGACTTGTTTGCTAAATCTCTCTATCACCTCAATGATAAAGCAAGATATACTCAAAAGAGTAATCCTCAACAAATCCTTGTAGATCTGAAGATACACTCTTCTACCAAAGGTAGATTAGAGTCTTCCACCAAAGGTGGGTAAGAGAAATGAATCTCTTCAAATTTCTTCACAATGTTGATGAAGAAGAGGAGCTCCTTGTAGATCTTGTAGCTCCAATGGTGGTTTGAAGAAATTGAAGTTGAAGATGTAGCTTGGAGTTTGTAGATCTTTGGAGAAGCTTTTGTAGATCTTGAAGAAACACTTGTAGATCTTGAAATTTCTTCAAAATCTTCACTGCTCCTTGGATAAAATCCTAGATCCACAAGCTAGGATCCTCCAAAAAAAATATCCAAGTAGCAAATGGCCACACAAGGCCAAGGAAGAACCTTGCTCTAGATACCAATGTAATGCCCAAGGCTATTATAATGGCGGTTACAAGGCTTTTATAATATTCCAATACAAAATAGTAGCCTTAACTAGCCTCAACAACCTTGGAGATGAAGATCTTCTTGATGCCTTTGATGAAAAGCACTTGGAGTAGTAGTGTAGGGAAGCTTGGGAGAGAGCCTAAAGGACTTAGCCAAATAATCCCATTTCCAATTGTTTAGTTGGAGTGGGAGGTTGAGAATGAGCTTGCTTAGCTCAGACCCCCTCAATACACCCCTTGGGGAACTATCCCAACCATGGTTTCCATGGTGGGATGGTTCCTAGGCTTGGAGCCTATGTGGCAATTAGTTGGGTTGGGAAAACCCAACCTAGAACCATTGAATGGTTGTTTTTAAGATAGAGTAGATTGTTACACTGAATTGGCAGTTTCTGATTGGTTGGAAATCCAACCTTCAACATTCCACTTTGATGGGTTGGAATTTCCCAAACCTATTGGTTGAGGTTTGGAATTCCCAACCCAACCCTTTCTCTCCCAACTCAACCTTCACTCACTCGTAGCCCAATAACTATCGAGAGCAATCTCGACGAATGCCTTTGAGTGTTAGGTTGTTAGCTAGGGAGTTAGGCGAGAAGTAGGTCGATGTGTTACAGGAGGTGAGGGATGGGGCGATGAGGGATGGGGCGATGAGGGATGGGGCGATGAGGGATGGGGCGATGAGGGATGGGGCGATGAGGGATGGGGCGATGAGGGATGGGGCGTTGAGGGATGGGGCGATGAGGGATGGGGCGATAAGGGATGGGGCGATAAGGGATGGGGCGATGAGGGATGGGACGGGTTGGGGGGTTGGGAACAAGAGGGGACAGAAAAATCTCTTGAAACCCAGGTGCTGATGCCACAATTTGCGGAAATGTGTAATGGGAGGCGGAGAGGGAGGAGAGGTGGTGACGAAGGGGAATGAGAGTGTGCGACCCAGGGGAGGGTGAGTGTGCGACGTACGGGCATTGAGCATGGGCGACGGAATGGTCATGAGCGCTTCCCGTCTGAGTGAGCTTGGGCGACGGGGGAGAGTGGGCGTGGGCGACGGAGCGGAGTGAAGGTGGGCGATTGAGAGGAATGAGCGTGTGCGATGTAGTGCATTATTTGGGCGACGGGAGGGGGGTGGTCGGTGGAAGGGGAGTGTACGTGGGCGACGGGACGGAGTGCGCGTTGGCGGCGGAAGAGGAGTGAGCGCGCGACGGGAGGGAGTGAGCGTGGGCGGCGGAAACGGAGTGAGCGTGGGCGACAAGAGGGAGTGAGCGTGGGCGGCGGATGGGGAGTGAGCTGGCGCGACGGGAGTGAGTGTGCGTGGGCAGCGAGAAGGGGAGTGCGCGAACACGACGGGAAGGGGTCCGCGTGGGCAGCGGAAGGGCACCTAGCGAACACGACGGGAAGGAGTCCGCGTGGGCGGCGGAACGGGAGTGCACGAACACGACGCGAGGGAGTGAGCGTGGAACAATGGAGCTATGAGCGCGAATGCGACGGGAGGGAAGTGAGCGGCAGCCAGCATCGCGAATATGATTGAGCGACGGGAGGGATGAGCGTAGGCGATGGAGGGAGTAACCCTAATGCGACGGGAGTGCGTCACAACGAGCAGAGATACCGTTTGTGACTGCACTAGTTGGTGGAAAAAAACCAGGTCTAAGCAGCACGACGGGCTAGTAGTAGGCACTGAACTCCCCGATTTCTGTCGACCTGAATTACATATTTCTGCGAGGTGTGCACACCCACAGCCAAAGTCGTTGCCAGGGACCCTTCCGACCCTTCCCTGTGTTGCGTGCGACTTTCTCACGTTGACTGGTTGGACACCTGGTAACCACCCAGGTTCGGGAGGGAAAGTTTTAACACCTCCCAACTTTCTTTGTAGTTCAGGCTGCGGGTTTTAAGCTGTACCGGCAGCAGCATCGCATCATCCACGCGATCAGAGTCCGAAAAGAGGAGCTTTGTCTGCTACCACAGCAGCATATGTCTACGTGTCATTTCCTGCCAGAGAGTTTTTTTGTACTGTGGTACTACGACTGTTATGGGGTATTGAGATCATTGCACGTTTGGATTTGCTCTGTTGCTCGGATTTGCTCTGTTGTTAAAGAACTTCTCAGCCGGGAAGAGAGCAGAACATCATGTGCTGGACCTGTGGTTGTTTGTGCCTCGGTTTGATACGCTTAGTTGCAAGATTGTGGAACTCTAGGGTTTCCTGAAGTATACCCCCCACTTTATTATGAAGCGTCCGAAATCACCTTTGTTTCGGAAAAAACCATAGTAGTTTGCTCGGCGGTGTGTCAAGTGCTGTGCTGTGCACTACCCTTGTGTGGAGTGCACTCATCCATAGGTGTGGTGATGCGATGCCTCCTTCCTCACAGTTCGGAGGATAAGCTCTCTCGTGTTGCGTGTGGTTGGAGCGTAATGAACAGTATTTTCTCAACGAGCTCGTCCAACAATCCCCACAGTCGGATCACAACATATGTCGCCATTAACAAGTAACCGTAATCGTGATCCATTGTCTTGTCGGACATGAACTGTTACAAACGCATTTGTCCAATTCACCCTAGAAATTTGAAGGTAAGTATCGGCCACGTTGCACAAAACAAAGTGTTACACACTGTTGCCTAACTTCCATGTACGGGTGGGATCTGGGCAATGCCTGGATTCGACACGGGCTGGCTGGATTTTTCACAATGACCTCTCCCACACCACCACCCACCCCTGCCTGAACCTCCCTCCGACATCAGCAAAAAGTTCAGGTCCCAAAAGAGTCTTTCGGGCACGTGCCAAAGGCGGGTCTTCCAGGACAAATTTGGGACTACCGATACACCCTCTTTCGCGCTACACTGACAATAAGATTCACATGCTGCAGTGTGTACTGTTGCTTGGAACGTAGCGGTCTTGTGCTTACAGCCCAACTGCAGGTAGTGACGGGCAAATGGACTCCTGGTGAACGGTACACAACGGTTTTCAGAAAACAACTTGCTTTTGGGTACGGTTGAGTGCGAGCAAAAGTGCTTATATTGGATGTGCATGGACCATCCTAGACGCATTGATGTGTGTACATCCGATCGGTTCGTATAGCCATTGACAGTGTAGCGCGAAACAGGGTGTACTGTATTTGTCCTCTCCTACGGGATATTTGGGACGGTTGTGGGAGCTGGGATTTTGTGATACTGGATTTAATTCTTAACAGTTCTAAGCAGGTGTGTGCGGAATGTTTAGGTCTGGAGCTGCGACCACGGGAATGGTTGTCAAGAACTTAGGTTCGACTCACACATTCACAAGGGACCATGGTCAGCCACTTTCTGGAAATTTAGGGCTCTTTTCTGGTCAGCTCTAGCCCAATGCAGAAGAATGATTGTTGGGAAAACTTGGGAAAATTCTCGAATCTCAGACGTTCCAAGTCTCTATTGGCCGCTGTCACTCCATGCTTTCACTCCAGGGCTAATTTTTCGTTTTTAGAGACCCCGATGCCTCCGGGGCCCCCACGTAAACATACGTAAAATTCCGAATCCGTAGAAAGGCCACCCTTTCTGGTCCGGGTTCTATCAAAGGGTACCCTGACTCAGTGTGTCTCTAAGAAACACCCTTTGGCCTATCGAGTCGTGACAGCTACAAGCGAAGAGCGCACATGAAGTAGTACTCGAGAAGAGCACACATTTATTAAAGTTCCTGAATGTCCCTAACAATGTAACATCACCCACCTAGGTTTGACTGTGAGCACAGAAAACAAAAGTCAATTCTGCAGTTGTACTACAGCTGTTCGGATCGCAGATGCGTCTCACTCAGGGACAGGACCATTCAATTCCGGCACGAAAGTTCTTAAGGGTCGCCCTTAAGCATCCGGATGTCTCTTTGAGGAATGCCCTTTAAGTGTCCGGATGTGTTTGAGTTCGTCCCCCTCAAAATCCGGGTCTTTGACTAAATCATCCGGAATGTTGACGAAATTCCGTATGTGCACCCTGCTACCGTGAGCTCTGTTTCACTCGGAACGTACGTGTACAGCATAGGACAACGATTTCTTATGTAGTGTACTGTACAGTACAAATGGGCTTCATTCTACCGTTGCGCAAGGACACCTGAAGATGACGACGGCAGGAGCTCTAGAAGAAAGAGACAATCCAGTCCATCAGCAGCACTGGAGCGAACCGCTCCCTCAACCCGCCGTCCAGAAAAAGAATCCAGGAATGTCCCCGAGAATCAGTTTATCAGCCGGAATCTGAAAGTTGCCCGAATGCAAACGGCCCTCTGGTCGTCTTCCATGTTACACCTAGTCCGCGGTATTTTAACCGCCGCTATCTTAACCGCGCAAGGGTACTTCTCCTTGGTCAAATTTTTTTTATACGAGTAGTTAAGACATTTATTGAGGGTAGAATCTAGCATACCCTTTGTGAGGCAACGGCAGTCAAAACCCGGTCAATGCCAATCCGCCCTCTATTTTGGAGCACTAAGTGTGAGTTTCTTTAGAAGGAAATGCTTGAGGCTGTGAAACAATAGCCTTGAAGTCTCTGTGCGCCCATCTCATTACCCGAAAATGAACAAAGGGTGTTTGAAGCAAAACAGTTCACGTGGTTAAAATACCGCGGACTAGGTGTAGGGATCCTTCTCAGATGATTAGGCAAGGACTACCCTGGGTAATAATGAAGTACAACCCTCCTAACCCTGAGTTGTGATTGTGGAGTTTTTAGCCCAACTGGGAGGAGCGACAAATCACTGCCCAAGCAAGCTGTGCAGTCCAGATCAGCCTGCCAGCTCGGCTCCCTCGCCCCTCGCACACCAAAACTACAGCTGAAATAGTGTACTGTACATTGGTGGCAGCGCAGTTGCCGAGTCGGCCCTAAGTTTGAGAACATGGGGTCACTACAGAGAAGTTGCAAAAATTGGAATGAAGTGCAGGGTTGACAGCTGTCTTCAATGCTTGTACTGTACAAACCGCATTGACACATATTCAAACAACCAAGATCAGATACGAGATGGTACAATGAATGCTCATTACAAGAGTTCCAGGTAGGCGGGCTGCATGTGCGTGAAACTAGTTTAGGCGTTTCGCTTACTTTCCCCCTCGTCGCCACGGGAAACATTGTAACTCTATGACGAAATTGGAATGGAATCGAAATGTGGGTGTTCTATTTCCGTAACCAGGTCAAAAGGGGAAGAGCATGAGTCGACTTTCGCGAAGACTCAGGTTTCCCCGCTGACAGATTTCTTGCCGGCGTCGATCCGGCTGCTCATCGAGGATGATTAGCCTGACGTCGCGGACGTTCCTCCACATACTCCTCCCTCTATGACTGCTGTCCCGCCGTCGGCCTCGCCTCCTACCGCGATCGCCTCCACTCCACCCTTTGTCAGTTTCCTCTCTAGGTCGATGACTATGTTGGCCGATATCGATAAGGGGAAAATTGGTGCTTTGAATGCGATACCGGCCAATGAAATTGCAGGCGGCGACGTGATGTTGTGCAAGTTGGCGACAAAGGGAAGCCGCCGACTTTGGGGGAGCCGACGATAGGGGAGAAATTGACAAATGAGTCGACGACAGTGAACCAGTCGCCAGGGAAGCCGAGATCAGTGGAGCAGCTTGACGACTTTTCGCCAAGCGATGTCACGGAAGTTGTGAAGAAGCTGTCGACGACGAAGGGGAGGGGTCGACGGGGGAGCAGCCCAGTGGCAGCGACGTGGTGGAGGTTCCGGTCGACAAGCCAGCACTACAACGTTTGACCCGCCCCAACTTTGTCAAGCCTCTAGAGAAGTAGAGCTACACCCACCTGAAGGTTGCTTGCACCACCTGCTAGACGATGCGTACGCCGATGGTGGCCTGACCGATCCCGACATGCACGCCGACCAGGAACGGCGTTGGGACGTGTCGACCATGATGGTCAACGAGGCGTTGGCGAGATAGAACGGGAAGGCTATGAAAGCTGCGATGGACAAGGAGATTCAGAGCCTTCTCGCCAACGGCACGTGTGGCCTTGTGAACAGGGCTGTCGAAGT